CAGAGAAAGACCCAACCAAGAAAGAGAATTACAGACCAATCTCCCTCATGAATATAGATGCAAAGATACTCAATAAAATGCTACCAAATAGAATGCAGCAAATCATCAAGAATATCACATACCACGAACAAGTCAGATTCATTCCAGGAATGCAGGGATGATTCAATATTTGCAAATCAATAAATGTTATACACCATATCAATAGAGCCAAAGATAAAAACTATATGATCATCTCAATAGATGCAGGAAAAGTTTTTGACAAATTCCAACATGCATTTATGATAAAAACTCTACAGAAAATAGGAATAGATGGTCTTTACTCAACCGGATCAAAGCCATCTATGACAAACCAACAACCAGCATCATATTAAATGGACAAAAACTGAAAGGGTTTACTTTAAAATCAGGAGCAAGACAAGGATATCTGCTGTCACCACTTCTGTTCAACATAGTTCTGGAACCATTAGCCAGAGCAATTAGGCAAGAGAGAAATAAAATGTATAAGGATAGGAAAGGAAGGAGTAAAACTATCACTATTTGCAGATGATATGATACTTTACATGGAAGACCCCAAAAACTCCTCCAGAAGACTCCTTGAATTAATCAACAAATTCAGCAGTAGAGCTGGATACAAAGCCAGCACTCAAAAATCAATAGCATTCCTGCAAACGAACAACAAAAAGACTGAGAGAGAAGTTAAGGAAACCATACCTTTCATAATAACATTCAAGAAATTGAAATATTTAGGAATGAATCTAACAAAAGAAGTGAAAGATCTATTCAATGAAAACTATAGTTTTCTATAGTACTATAGTACTCTGAAGAAAACTATAGTACTCTGAAGAAAGAGATTGAAGAGGATTTCAATAAATGGAAAAACATTCCTTGCTCATAGATAGGAAGAACCAACATTGTGAAAATGGCTATACTTCCAAAATTGCTGTACAGATTCAATGCAATTCCCATTAAACTACCATTAGTATACCTCACAGATCTCGAGAAAACATGCCTTAAATTTATCTGGAACCAGAAGAGACCCAGAATAGCAAAAGCAATGCTGGGCAACAGGGACAAGTCAGGTTGAATCACAATCTGTGACCTGAAATTATACTACAAAGCCACTGTAAGAAAATCAACATGGTACTGGCTGAAAAACAGACCTGAAGATCAATGGAACAGACTGGAAGATACAGACACAACCAAAAACACACTCAGCCACCTAATCTTTGATAAAGGGGCCAAACAAATTCACTGGAAGAACGATAGCCTCTTTAATGAATGGTGCTGGAAAAATTCGCTTGCCACGTGCCAAAGACTGAAAATAGACCCAAGTCTATGAACATGCACCAAATTCAACTCAAAATGGATCATGGATCTCAATATTACAACAGAAATACTAAATCTACTGGAAGAGAAAGTAGGCAAAAACCTTGAAGACGTAGGGGTAGGCAGAGAGTTCATGAACAAAAACCAAACTGCATGGGAAGTACTTCAAAGAATCAACAACTGGGATCTCATCCTACTGGACAGTTTGTGCACATCTAAAGAAATCACCAGCAGAGTAAAAAGAAAACCCACAAATTTGGAAAGAATTTTAGCTGACTGTCCCTTGGACAAAGGTCTATCTAGAACATATAAAGAATTAAAAAATATCAGCCCTCCCAAATTCAAAGACCCAATCCAAAAATGGGCAGCTGAGGTGCATACACACTTCTCAGATAAAGAAATGTAAATGGCAAATAAATACATGAGAAAATGTTCAACATCATTAGTCATTTGAGAAATGCAAATTAAAACAACATTGAGATTTCATCTCACCCTAGTGAGAATGGCTATCTTTAAGAAATCAACCAATAACAAATGCTGGTCGGGCTGTGGAGAAATAGGAACTCTTCTCCTCTGCTGGTGGGAATGCAGACTGGTGAAACCACTGTGGAAATCATTTTGGAGATGCCTCAGCAATCTACGTCTAGAGGTCCCATTCAACCTAGCTATTCCCCTTCTGGGTATTTTCCCAAAAGATATGAAAACATCATATCACAGCAATATATGTGCAACCATGTTTATTGCAGTGCAATTTGTAATTGCTAAATTATGGAGGCAGCCAAGTGTCCATCCACTGAGGATTGGATAAAAAAATTGTGGTACTTTCATATAATGGAATATTACTCAGCTGTAAAGAAAGATAAACTCGAGGCTTTTATAGGTAAATGGTCACAACTAGAGACCATACTCATAAGTGAAATAAAGCAGACCTGCATGTGTAAGCATCATATTGTCTCACTAGTGTGAGAACCTGATAGAGTGAATAAAAACTAGGAGGTATGATAGACATTGTGAAATGAAAGGAAAATGCTCAAAAGTAAAGGGCAACTGGGGTGTGGGAAAAGAGAAGGGAAAGAAGGGGCAATTATGTTTGTATGTAATAGGATAGCTAATACAGTTGTATTGCTGTCTTCTATTGCTTTACTGAAAAGAACAGTTAATGATTCCCTGATTGATCAATCTTTCATGTCTCTGTTTTCCTGAGAAACCATTTTGAAGATATCAATATGTAACACAACAATCATTGTTAATTTTGTACAGTTTTGTCTGTAACCCTGTATTGTTTGTATTGTTCTTATGCTACTTTGTAAAGCCATATTGGTTAATCTGTTTTGCTTCTTTTATTTTTAAAATAAATTTTAAAAATGGACTTTGTGAAATGAAGGGAAACTGCGCAAAAGGAAAGAACAACTGGGGTGAGGGAAAAGAGAAAAGAAAGAAGGGGAAAGGTACGCATATATGTATACACAGGATAGCTAACATAGTTGTACTATTAACTTCTATTGCTCTATTGAAAGCAACAGTTAATGTTTAAGTGTTTGATCAATCCTACATATCTATATTTGTTTATCTGAGTATCCAATTTGGAGATATCAATATGTAATACAACAACCATTGTTAATTTCCTATAACCTTGTCTGAAATTCAGTATTGCTTGTATTGTTTTTGTGTAATTCTGTAAATGTATGTGTGTTTGTTAGTATGTTTCCATTCTTTTATCTTTAAAATAAAAAAATTTAAAAATAAAAAAATGTTACTATTGTCACCAACTTTCAAAATGTTGGTGTGTATATCCTTCCTTACAAAAAAACCCAGTAAAGTTTCTAGACAATTTTGTCAACAAGGGATAGAATTCTGCTTTAGGTTCCTTTCTCATTAATCACAAATTATATTAGTGTTTTGGCTTGTGTCCAGGTGTCCCCCCTCCACAAAGTCTCATGTAGTCATAAGTGGGGATTTTTGGGTGGTGGCTGGATCTACAGTATGTGACTGATTCATGGTCCAATGTTAGGATTAAGGGTGTGAGTGCTATCTAACCTAAGGGTTGGTCACCTGGATATAATATATGGGACAGAGAGAAGTTTGCTGCTAGTTACCTGTAGTTTGTTCCTTGCTGGTTTCTACTTCATGGTTGGCTACTTTCTGCCTGCCCTGCTTTGCAGAGACTGTTTCTCCTCTTTGATGCCCCTCTGCCATGCCACCTTGCCTTGGAGCCAACCAACTACAGACTGAAACCTCCACAGCTGTGAGCTGAAATGAACCTTTCCCCTTAACTTTGGGTGCTGGACATTTTGTCTCAGCAGTGAGAAAAGTAATTCAGATAATTAGTAAAAAGGAACTTTCACCATGTTAATTCTGTCTTTGCAATATAAGAGAAGGAATCACAAAAAATCGATAATAATGAGCAGTAAACCAAATAACCCATTGTTCAGCACTTTCCCTCTCTATCTTTCATATTGCTCAGTCAATGGAATGTTGTGCTTGTTGCAACGTACTTAGTTATTGCTGGGAGTAACTTCACACCTCCTGATCTATTCTGTTCCGTTTCACCAGTCCTCCTTCTTTCACTGTGCTGCACTGTGTTTTATTCATTTGATCTCATTTCTTTCATTGCATTCCATCTGCTGACTTAGAGATACAATTCATATAAAGTGTAGAGTGATCATTGTGAAGGTTTCAGCTTCAATAAGACATATCTTAGCCATTTAAAAACAGAAGAATGTTCCCAGGGAAAAGGAATACTATACTACGTGATATTATTTTTAAAAAATAATTCCCAAATATACAGGGCTAATCCAAAATCAGCCTGGGAAGTATACAGTTAAACATGAGTTACAGGTGGAGCTTTTAGCTGTCAGACTAAGAAGCATAGGAGAAACAGACCTTGCACTTGAAATATACATTAATAAGTAAAATAAAGTGTAGCTAAGTAATCAACCACTTTGTTTAAATGGAGAAATCTATTGTTCAGAGTCTTTGGCTCCCTATTTGGCTGACAGTGGCAGATGACAAGAATATCAGCCTTTAGGCCTCCTTTCCACTACAGCTTCAGGAAGGCAAGGAACACAATAAAATAAGTTGCCATTTGAAGTCTTTATTAGTGAAAAAATCAAAATATAATCACCAGATTTTTTAATAGTAGTGACAAGAATAAAATAACTTCACTTTTCAAGTTAACATCTCTATATACCAACTAGATAATATTTATCCTTCTACCAATTAAAGCCAGGGTTTATTTTCATAGACAGTTTTACCAACTTGATATTTGAATGGTTAAATTAGTATGGTTTGCTTTGCAATATATGACTAATCAAATATATGACAAACATTTTTTGAAAATATTCCACTATGGTATATACTTTACAGTGACTTAATTCATGTAAATTAATTGATCTAGTAATAAAATGCATACATAGGAAAAGTCTTTCTGTTGTTCACAGAGGCTAGAATCTAGTACAGTATATAAAAATTAACTTAGATGTAATACAGTAGACACCAACCATAAATTTTAAACAATTACATGCTCTGAGTAATGTACTGTCAGAGTCTTGGTTTGCGAGTAGCTGCCAGAGATTTCATTTTTACTTATTTTTATTTTTTCCTTTTCTTGGCTCACATTTTGTGGAATGGAATTTCATTTGAATTTAAGATAGTTATGTAAAGGTTTTTGTTATTGATCAGCAATATAATGATTCTGTCTATAAATAGATGAATATAAAGAGATAGGAAGATGGATGCATCAATCTACCTAATTTTGATATATGGTCTGCTGTTTTTGCTCACATGAAGAAATCCAGTTTTTTCTCCCCAAGTTCATAGGATTAGCTGACTCCAGTGGGTTTGTGCTTAAATATAGGGTCATGACCTTGTATTCTCCAACATTTAGGGTAAATGGTTGATGAGCCATGCAGTGTTTCTTTATCTAATGACTTTTTGTCCCTTCAATGAACTACTTTGTGTGTTCCAAACAGAGATCTTGATCACAGACACATACTTGTTGTGGCATAGAGGTGATTGGTTGTGTTAATTGATCATGTGAGGTGAACAGTTTGATTCAAAGACTAATGAGAGTACTTTCAACCTGAGTAATATTTCAGTTTGATATTTGTGGTCAAAGTAAAGATGGTAGCTCTGCCCTCATACATTACATGGATGGCAGAATCCTCCATAATGTATGATATACTACTGACTGTTAAGAAGCTGAATAAGGCGAATTAGAGCCTGTCTGGCAAATTGCTCAAATATATCCTGTAGGGAAGGTGTAGTTGGGTTAGTGGTTGGCGTAGGTGTTGTAGCTATGGGATCAGTTGTGGTTTCAGGGGTTGGGACAGCTGTAGCTTCTGGTGGGGCTGAAGAAGGTTGTGGTGTTGCTGCAGTTGGGGGAGATGTACTTTGTGAAGGTGTGGTCTCTGGTGTGGCTGGAGAAGGTTGTGATGCTACTGTAGTTGGGGGAGGTGTAGTTTGTGAGGTTGTGGTCTCTGGTGTGGCTGGAGAAGGTTGGGATGCTACTGTAGTTGGGGGAGATGGAGTTTGGGCAGTGGTGGTCTCTGGTGGGACTGAAGAAGGAAGTGGTGTTGATGTAGTTTCAGAAGAGGCTGTGGTGGGAGAATTCTGAGCAATAGGGCTGTTGGCAGCAGATGTGGTGACCAAAACCAGACTTTGTGTAGTAGTCTCTGGAGTATTATTGTTGACCACAGTGGTACTTTTAACTGGAGTATTAGTTGTCTGGAGGTGATCTGGAAATAGAGGAGGTGGATGCGGAGGTTTAGGCGTAATGTGTGGAGGCTTAGGCCTAAAGGGTGGGCGTAGAGGTCGTTTTTGCCATGGATTCTGCTGAATTGGTAATCCAGAATGATGTGACTTGACAGGTTTAGGTCGATGGTGAAGTTTCTTTTTGTAATATAGGTAGTGACTATCTCTTTCACCTTCGCTGAACTATGGAAAAGAAAGAGAAATAAAAAACTAAAAAGTCTATTGACTTATGCCTCAGTTACTTTTCTCATTGCTGAGATAAAATATCCAACACCCAGAGTTAAAGGAGGAAAGGTTTATTTAACTCACAGAGTGTAGGGGTTTCAGTCTATAATTGGCTGGCTCCAAGGCAGGGTGACATGGCAGACAAGCGATTAAGAGGAGAAACAGATCATGGTGGGGTGAAGGCATAAACCAACAAAATAGCAAAACAGCAAGTCCATGTGACCTTAGCAGCTTCTTTCTGCCCCTTTTATATCTCACCCAGGCTACCAGGCTGAGGGTGGGTGCCAAGTCAATCAGTGGACTGATTTAGTAATCACACACCTTTAATTCTAGCATCACACACTCTAGATCCATCCACCTCTGAAAAAAAAAAAACCCACCTATGACTGCCTGAGGCTTTGGGGGACATCTAGACACAAGCCATAACAATTTATCAAGTATGGCATCATTAATGAACATCAGTGAGAAGCATTTGTGGAGCTTTGGGATTGGAAACTGGATTGCAGTTCTAATTCCACCAACTCTCACTTCTGCACCTAACTCTCCCCTTTTCCAGGTGGTCTCTAGGATACTGTGAAGGGTGGCTATATCTTGGAGGAGCACGATTGAAGTGCACTACAATAATCAGCAACCGCAGTTCAGATCTGTCCTTTGTCCAACATAAAATGACTGAGTGATTTTGTTCAAGTCATTTAATTCAACTGAATTTTAATTTACTCATTTAGGAAATGATTCAGACTAAATTAAAGATCCACAGTCTAACTCCATAAATTCTTTGGAGCTTTGAGACATTCATACTGTTCAAGTCGCTGAGACAGATATTCAGCTTCACGAGGGCAGGGATTTGTTTCCCCCTGAATGCCCTGTCCTGAGAACTACGTGTGACACATGGCAGACACCCATAGATTGTTCACTGAGTGAGTAAAGGAGTGGAATTGATAATACCAAATACATAAGTGAACAATACCTATTGAATAAAATCTCAAACATTTAATACTATTTTACTTAAGATTTAATTTAACTATTTTATGTAGATGGTCAAAACAATGCCTATGGTTTTTTATATGAAAACAAATGAATTAAAATACTATTAACTACTATGTCAGTTTAGCATAGAACATGCATCAAACAATCAATTTGTCTGATTTACTTAAAATATACTGATTAATCACTGTATGTCCATGACAGAGCTTGTTAAGTGAAATTGTGTTTCGAGTTGAAAATGCATTCATCCAAAGCACTGAAGACCTTTTAGAGATGACTGTCCAAACTGCAGCCCCAAACTCACTTATTTATCACAAAGTGCCCCACTGCAATTAAACCTGTTATTTGTCCTTATTGAAAAAGTACTCATGTCAGGTCCTAGTCTAAGTGATTTACAAATAAAAAGTATTTAATTCCTTAGCTATGACATTATCTGCATCATCCTAATATGGATGAAGAAACGGAGTTCCAGAGAGATTAAATAGTGTTCAGCAAAATCTCTCTCCATGTTCAAACCGCACTTTTGAGAGGAGCGGAAAGAGAAAAGACTCAAGGGAGAAGAGGAGTATGGGTATTCTCAGGGGAGGGAAGAAAGGAGAGACACAGGACTCCTGGAACCAGGGAGGGGAAACAGGAAGAGTCAGGAGATTCTTAGTAACTGAAGAAGTGCCAAGTTTCTTTATGGATTTTTTTTTTTTTTTTGGTTTTTCTCCGGTACCGGGAACCGAACTCACAACCTTGCGCTTACCAGGCAGGCGCTTTTGCCGCTGAGCTAAATCCCCAGCCACAGGTTTCTTTATGGAAGGGAGAGGAGGTAAAGATTAGTCATGAAAAATAGAGAAAGAATAAGAAGGGAAGAGAGATTACATTTGCTTGAAATTAGAAGGCACCTTACATTTTGCATTTGAGGTTATTAGCTTATTTTTATATCCATTTGAGAACCTGTAACCCTTTTATAATGAGGAGCAAACCAATTATTAAAGAGTGTTATATTTAGCACTTCATCTGACTCCAGAATATACCTCTTCCATCTTTCCTGGGAACATCTGTAGGACAGAGCCAAATTATTCAGTTCTTGAAATCACTGCAAAAATTCAAGGGTGCTGAAACTTCAGGGCTGCTCATCTCCACTTATAGTATCTAGTCATTCTTTGGTACATCCCTGTATTTGTGTCCAGAGACTTTGCCTGAGATTGAGATTAAGGGTGGTGGAGTAATTAATCTGGTAAAAGAAATTTCGAGGCAGTCAAATGTTGAGGCAGTGGCCTTTTAGCCAGATTTATATTGAGAATCAAAAGCAAAGACCCCAGCAGAATGATGTAAAATGTGAGTTTGGCCAGAAAGGAAGCTCCAGTAAAGCTGTGGACTGCAAAGATAAGGCTGAGGAGATCTTCACTGCTGAGAAGGAACAAGAAAATAGAAAAGATGGCCTGAGGGCATCACACAAAGCAGCAAGTCTCCACCCTTTCCAGCCTCAAAACTGAAAAGGTGAAAGACTTTGCTTTGAGAACAAAGCCACAGAACACCATGTTCCAGAATGGTGGTGGTGGCCACACCAGGTTCCAGAATGGCAGCAGCATAGAGAATTTGCTCCTCAGAATTGGATTCAGAGTGCCCAGCAATACAGACACTCGACCCCTATGACCAAGAGAGGGGAAAGCTTGGCTACTGCTCCAGGTGGCAGTGGACCATCCACGTGGCACTAGTTTTAAGTGCATACAGAATGCAAGAGTTTTGAGGTTAAAAAGTCTTCCACTTTGATTTCAGAAGGCCTGGGAGGCCAAGCATGTGCCCCTGAAAGGGCAGTGTATGAAGCTGTGAGTGTGAAGAGAAAGGTTCAGTGGAGACCTCAGAAGTTTGCAAAAGCCAGGAATGTGGATTGTCTGAGGAAAGCTGCAAGGAGGGAACAAAGTGGGCCCAAGAGAGAAGCCATGGGAGCTGTAACCACTGGAAGTGCCATAGGGATGGAATCATGCAAGCTCTTTGGAGCTCACAGTGTGCCACAGATTGCTTCAGATGCTGGATGAGGAATTACAGGACTTAATGTTAGCCCTACTGGATTTTGGACTTGCTTTGATCCCAATGCTTTGTATCCCCCTCTTTGTACCTTTTGGAATGGTAATGTTTATCTTGTACCATTGAATGTTGGAAGTGTTTAACTTTGTTTTCATTTGTACAGGAGCTCACAGCTAAGAGCTTGCCTTACATCTTGGAGGAGACTTGGGACTTGGACTTTTCAGCAATGCTGAAACTGTTAGGACTTTGGCAACTCTTAGAGATGGACTAAAATGCCTTTTGCACAAAGGGTTGTACACGAGTCTTTGGGGGGCCAGGGGCAAAATATTATGGTTTGTGTCTGGATGTCCCCTTAAAGCCTCATGCAATCACAGGATAAGCTTCTAGAGTTTGTGATTGATTTATGGCCCAACGTTGGAATTATGGATGTGAGTACTACACCTGCCCTGGGGTGGATAGTTTGCATACAATGTAAGGGAGGCAAAGAGGCTGCTTGCCACTGCTCCTCCCTTTTGCTCTTTTTGCTTTTGCTGTGTTCCTCCGCCATGAACATTTGCCCTCTGTCATGTGCCACTCTGCCTTGGAGCCAGCCGAATATGGACTGAAACCTCCACAAACTGTGAGCTAAATAAACCTTTCCTTCCTTAATTCTGGTGTTAGGTATTCTTTCTCAGCAATGGGAGAAAAGTAACCAAGACAGAGGGTCAGTCAATTTATTTCTGTGCTACTTACTTTTATTCAAGTTCTTCTGAAACATTTTTTCTTTTGTGATCATGATATCTCCCCTGCCAGGTAAGAATGCATTTTTTCTTTTGTAAACCTTTGAGATTTGGGCATTTTGAAGAGTTTTATTTATCTTAAGCATGGAAACAAAAGGGATTTTTTAGGCATTGGTTTTGTGGGAAGTACCAGTAAGGACCTCCTCAAAGTAACCCACATTTAGTCGTTCTACAATAAAATAATGATTTGAGTTATGTAACTCCACTAGGGGCACTGTGACATCCTGATGCTTCTAACACATTTAGAATGGAATCTTCGTATTCTGCACCAAAACTTAAAGGCCCTGACGAATACTTTCTGCATCTGCAGCAGATCTCATCACACTCATGAAGTTGATGTTCTGTAGAAATTGGTTAAGTGAAATGTGTTACTTCCTTGTACTTTTACTACCTGTTAATTATCTGTTTTCTTCTGTTTCCCAGAGCAAATACTTAAACTTCTTGGATATAAGGATTATTTGTTACACTATTCAAAGTTTCTTTCTATGTACTTGAATATATATACGTTCTTTATGGCAGAAATATCCAGAATTCTCTTTTTCTAGGTTTTTGAAATTTATGGAACAGGGGCTGGGGATTTAGCTCAGTGGCACAGTGGCTTCCTGGCAAGCACAAGGTCATGAGTTCGATTCCTGGTACTGGAAGAAAAAAAAAAACAAAAACAAAAAACAAAACAAAAAAAAGAAATTTATGGAACATAATTGTTATCTACAATTACCTCAGGGCACAATAATACACCAGAAGTTTTTACTCCAACTCATCTGTAACTTTTCTCCCTTCCTTTAGATGTTCCCCTCCTTGGCCACTTCCTTGCTCTCTCCAACCCTCGGGTGACCTCAGTGAGGCAGGTGGCCTAGTACAATGGGTTAACTACACCCAAAGGTGAAGGTGGGCACTTACCTGGAAGCAAGTGCTCAGAGCACAGACACATATCAGCAGTGGCAGAGTCTTCATCTTTCCTGCTCCCTCCTGGAAAAAGAAGAAAAGTGGTTTTTTATTAGTTATGATATTGTGGGCACAGATGCATTTTGGGAAACGTCTAATGTGTATATTTTTGCTCCATTTTTGTGAGGTAAAATTACTTCAAGTTTGTAGAGAGGATGCTATGGTTGAGGGTTAGAATTACATCCTTTTCTATTTTAAAGAGGAAAAAAACCTAACAAAATAGCAACAATGAAGACAAAAACAAAAACAATACAGAAACAACAAAAATGATACATGCTCTCAAAACAAAATGATAGGAATTAACAATGGTGGCTACATTACATACTATTATACTGCTAGTTTCCATCATGAGCATTTCTTATTGATAATAAAGACTGCTAGGGAAAGGCAGGACCTCAGCAAGTTTAGCACTAAGAGAAAGAAATAGTTTTCTTCTGATGAGTATTCTAATTCAAGAAGCCTTGCTGTTTGGAGAAGCATCATGTAAACCATCTGATATGGAACTAGTTTTGTAAATGTTCTGGGTTAAGTTCTTTTAAGCTGTTTCTTGTCTCTGTGCAGTGTAGCTGTTATTCAGACCAATGCACCACATAAACTGCACTCTTCTTCACCTTCTTCCCTTTATGATTTTGCTATTTGATGTACTTTTTCTAAATCCCCAAAGGCTAGAAATTTATTACATCAATTTTTATATCACCATGCCTAGAACAGTGTTGTTTTAAATTTTTTGTAAATGATCATCTTGCAAAAATAATTACATTTTGGTTTATAAAGGGAATAATACTGGAAGAATGTGGCCTTTTATATTTCTCATTTTGGTCAAGTACATAATATATCAGCTTGTCAGGTTTTGTGAACAAAATACAGGTTCAATCATTATAGACAAATTACACATTTGAGTAAGTAAATTAGTGTGCATATCAGTGAGTTGTGCTGTCAGATTGGATCAGACTGGCTCATCACAGAGCCCTGCAGTTCACCAAACCAGCATTGGAGGTGGTTAGACTTGGTGTAAATCCCAGCTCTGCCACTACATGTGTGACTCTCAGGGAGTTATGAGACTGTCTTGAGTGTTGTCTGGGAAATATATATATATGTATTTGTCCTATCTTCCAGTGGCCCAAGGGATTAAGGGTGATGGGGGAGAAAATTCATTTATTACTAAGTTTAAGAAGAAATTATATTGGGAATTGCATGGGTGAGATTTGTGAAAATTAACATATATATTATAAATTATACCAAGGACAGTTCTTGATCTATGAGTATAACTTCAGTGTAGTTATTACTACAGCCCAAGTGTACTTAGAGAAAAAGCAAGCCAGATTGGAGGAAGGGTAATAATTACTTATCACTGTATCAAGTCCCTAAGGTACTGTCACATTTTCTTTTTTCCAAGACAAAAATATTTCTATTGATTATATTTCTTCTAATAGCATGTAAGTTGGGTCTGCTATCATATAGTTTAGAAGTCCCCAAGAAGAAAATAATTGTAATAGAACCACTACTGCTGCTACTGAGTGTGTGACTTAAAAGCTTCTTTTAAGCAGGTTTTAAGTTTATGTTGACTATATCTCAAGTACTCATAAACTTGATACAGTGTGAATAATTCTTAAGAAATTCAGTCCAATTTCTTGCCTTCACATAAACCTGTTAAGATTGTAGGTGGAAGCAAAGGAAGATAAAGCACAAGAGAATCTTCAGATTTTATAATGTTCTTTCTGAGCTTTTGGAACTAGGAAATTTATTAGAATATATTTAAAATATCTACATACCTGGTTTTGTGCTAGTATTTCCTCCAAGGAGGGTCTATCCAATTGCTTGACTTTGTATGATTCCGGTAGGATGGTAACTGGAAGCAGAACAGAAAGTACAAGAGAATTCTCAGGTTTTATAATGCTTGACGAGCTTTTAGGAGTTAGGAACTTCATTGATTAAAGATAAGGTCACTGCTGTCAAGGAATTTACATTCAAAACCAAAGAATAAAAAGAGTGGTTGTAATTTTGTGCGTTTGACAGTAGTTCTTTGTGCACCAAATTCTTCCTGAGGAACACGGTAAATATTAGAGATTTTCAATGACTGATTTACTTGATTGATGAAAGTGTGATAGTGATTGACAGTGGATGTGAGGACGTTCATGGGCTAATTCCTCCAAACAGGAACCGTCCTTTCTTCTACCCTCTCAAGGTAAGCAAAGTGATTGCCTCAGACGGTTAACGTGACGAGACATCAATTTTTCTCTGTCAGTCAGTACAATTTAGCAAAGGGAAGAGGATTAAACAAAGAACATGAGGTCAAATACTGGTGAAGTAGAATTGTGAGAGGTGAACACTGAATTTTCCTTTGACTCCATCTTCATTAAAGGAACGTATTCACGTGCACCAATCTTCCCTTCTTTTATTTCTCTTTTTATTTATTACTACACGTTTGTTCCTAATAGGGTACATTTAAAACATTTTTCTTTATATTTTAAGAAATGTCACATAAAAATAAGAATAGTAGAATACACAACTATCACCTATTTCCTAGATTTCTCAATTAATATTTCACTATGCTTAACAGAGTTTTGAGAATAATGTAAATTTTAAAAAATTATCATAACTAATCTCTAAATATTTCAGAACCTATCTCTAAAATATTTTAAAACACCAGCAATGTCTAGTGATATTAATTAATAATTTACACATGTAATAATCTGACTGAATTCTTGTTAAAAATTCCCAATTTGGCAGAAATAGTTTGTCATTTCCTTCTAAGACTTCACTGAGGACCATGAATTATAGTTACTGTTTTGTTTCCAGTTTCTTTTAGTCTAAATATTTTCATCTAGTTTTCTACATGGTGCTAATATCTTGCACTAGACCAATTGTCTTCAACTATTTTTTTCAAATATTTATTTTTAAACAAAACAGAAAGTACAGAAAGTTTAATCTTGAAAAACAGTTCTTAGAGTTTTTCTTCTGTTTTTGAAGATTTTCAAACTTAAATAGTTCTACTATGTACAATTGTTAATCGGTAACAGAATTTTGAAGTTGTGATTCCTCTTCTAGCTAGTCAGTTTGCCGTTCTGCATGTGTGAATTCTGAAAGCAGAATTCTGAAAGCAGAATTTGGGATTTGATTCCTGCTTTTTTACTCTGTAGCCCTGAAATATTTGGCAAATCATCTTCCCTCTATGAGCCTCAGTTTTCTACGTGCAAAGTAGAGGAGGCACGTATCTTACAAAGTTTTCATGAGGAGAAAATTAAAATTAAATAATTTGGAAGGTCTGTGTTACGCTTTTATCTATGAAACACTCAGCTACTAAAGTGCCATCACCAAAAAGTTAGCGGGGTATTTGAGACAACACTGAGTAGATATGGGTTGTAATTTCTCCTGCTTTCCTTTTGCTAGTAACTACTAAAGTTCATTTACAATGTGCTTGTTATAGTCAAAACTGACTATACAGTAGAATTTTTACTGATATGAAGTAAACTTTTCTGAGTACCTTACAACAATTTACAAATCATCTTACATTATTGTGGCAATATTCACTTTGCTTAACAGAGCTATTGGACTATGACGAATAATGGTGATATGGAATCGTAGTAATGATTTCTCTAAGAACGTTTATTAGGGCAAGGCTAGTGATAATTTGGAGCACTTGGAAAAATTGATAGGATTTGCAGAAATGTCTATTCCCAGTCCTGATTCACACATAGACATATTAGATTCAGTTTTCACTAAATATTTCAAAAGGACACACCTAACTGGACATATTGTGACCTAATCCTGTGCCTATACAGTGCTTGAGCTAATGGAGTTTTATGAAATTATTATGGTCTGTGCGAAGAGTACAAAACTTGGAAATAACATGGACTAATCTGTAGACCAAAATCACCACCATGGTACATTTTAAATTAGAGGTCTTATCTTCCCCTCACTGTGCTCCCACCTCCACACCAAAATGTGTCATAGTTGATAAAAAAGCAAAATGAAACTTTTTATATGATCAAGGGCAACCAGATCCTGTTAATTAATTGGAAAATTCATTAAAATACTTTAACTCACAGTGGGAGGTTTTACCAACCTGCTTTCCATCTCAGACAAAAGAGGAAGTAAGAGGATGTATAACTGAATAATTCCTGAATTTCACTGTTGTCAATATTTTGCTATATGTGCTTATTGAATTATTTTTTGAAGTATTTTAATGTGGATTATAGAAATTGTGATAGCTAATCTCTGTTTCAGCATTTATCTTTAAAATTTGTTATACTACAATGCCATAGCCTCTAGTAGTGTTAATATTTGCACACACAGCAATCTAAAACTCAGTCTGTATCAGAACGTCCCGCTTTTGCAGAAAAATATTGTTAGTCATTTTTGTGCTGAGACACCACTAAGGACTATGCGCTGTATTTACTTATATGTCTTTAGTTTCTTTTATTCTAAACATTTTCATGTCTTTTTTCTTCATGGTATGCATCTTGAATGACTAGACCCATTGTCTTGTAAGTATTTACTTTTAGGAAAACATTTAAGAATGGTTTTCATACAGGATTTAAGTTTGGCATTTCCACTTGGTAAAAATTGTGACCTGGCATACACTTTTGAAGGTCTGGTTCCACTTACAGCCAGTCTCTTCCATTAGGCAAATGGTCTCTGAGAGCAGGCTCAGAAGTTATATTCCTGGAGTTTGAGTCCCTGACTCTTCACTTCAGAGCTGAGGGCTTCTACTGCAAAGGCACTGTGACAGACCCTGTGAATCACCCAAAGTTTAACTCAGGAGAACTACGTATGTTGGTTGAAAATCTGAAGTTAGACACTGTAGCTGTTCGCTGCTCCTCACTACACGCTCACTTCTACACCAAAATGCTTCATTGTTGGAAAAAGCAAAAGCAAAAGAAACGTCTTATCTGATTCAGAGGAAGCCTGTGCTTGATGACATCACTGGAAAGACCATTAAAGTGGAGCTCTTCGTGAGAGGCTTCTGCCGGTGTGCTTTCCATCTGGAGCCCCAGGGTCATAGGTTTTCCAGATTATTTTTTCCCACTTCCTCTGTAAAACATAATTAAAATATGGACAACGTCAATTATTTCACTCTTTTTATCAAAACAACTTTTTATCTATCAATATTATTGAGATTTTTAAAATTTGAAATGCATCTACTGCTATTACTGAAGCTGTGAGTTGATGTCCAGAAAGTTTTAAGAATGGCCTTGTAGAATGAGGGAGTCTGCATTACTCACTTCCAGGTCTAGAGGAGGAATGCCCTGAATAGTGAGAGAATCTGGCAGAGGTGCTGATAGGACACTGGCCTGGAAAAGTGAGAGAAAGCAGTGTCTCAGCTTTGGGCAGCCCTGAGAGGGGCCGGATGATTTAATCCATGTCTACATAGGCAAGAAAAAAGAGAAAGGAATGATAGGATTTTCTTTAGTTTGTGAATTTCTATTAAGCTCTGTTTTATCTATAGTTAAACATGTCTAATGTCTTAAATTAAGTCATTTTTGCTTTCAAAACACTTTCTTGTACTGCATAATTATAAGTGATCTAGAAAAATTACCACAAGCAAGTAATTGCTTTCTGGAAATTTGTGGCAATGTTCACTGTGCTTAACAAAGCCATTGGACATAATACGTATGGGGGACAAAAAAATTTTAGTAATGACTTCTCTAAGTGTGTTTATTAGGGCAAAGCTAGATAGTTTGTTCTTTCCAGTAAAATTATCCTCCCATTAAACTGTTAAGACTACAACTGCATTTTTTTGGATCAAGTGCATACTTCTGGCTTCAATTTCCTAAAGCTGTCTTTTTTTAGCTTTCCTTTTTCTGCTTCAAGATTTGACTTTCATTGTTTCCTCCCGGCTTGGGTTCAGCAAAGCCTACCTTAATCTACAATCATAAGGGGTAAGCAGAGAGCTCTTTGTCTGCTGAAGTTCCTCATTGAGAGCAATCCATTTATTTTTGTAATTGATATGTCTGCCTCCAAGGCTTCAGGGCTACATTAAACGCGGCATTTTGTCCTGGACTAAGAGGTAAAGACAAAGGATGAGAAAGTCTTTGATTTAAAGTGCAGGGAAGAAACACCTCTCTGCAGTGAGGAACGGGACTGGAGGATATTCATAGCTGCCCGTGCTTAGCTTGACCCAGAGAAGAATCCCTTAGCCTGAGTTTAGAAGTAGATAAACAACATTTATATTCACAGCCATATTACTGTAATATAGATATTATAAGTCACACAGTAATTGAAAGAATTATCTTTCTGGCATATTCTCAAATTTTGTGGATTTTTATGAAGGAAAGAGTCTCACTTTCTGAGCACATGAAAAGGTCAGTTGATGTCCATAAAAAATTATTAAAAAAACACAGAATAAGTATGTAGAAAGATTGCTTAAAACATGCCTCCTCTTTAAATATTAATTTTTTCAGAAAGGGATAATAAACTTTAAAGATATGTGATGGACTATAATAAGAATTATAAATGCTATTTCTCTATAGTAAAAAGTTAAAAAAAATAAAACCTTACTCTAAGCATTTGCTCAGAAAAAAGTGTTTAAATCCTACCTGATGTACAAAAGAGAGTGTCTACTAGAGAAGATTTGGCTGACCATGTGGGCCGAATCTGTCCTATAGCCTGCTCTTCTGCTCAGCACACAAGCGAGCAGTGGTGCTCACAGTGGAAGAGTTGTAGAAACAGCTGAAACAAATAATAACAGAAACACCCACAATGCCAAAATATACACTGTCTTCCCCTTTATGGGCCCACCACACATACAGAAGCTAAAGAACACTGATCTCTGCTTTAACTAAAGAAACTTTATAATGATCTAGTCTACCATTTAATATTTAGGTTTTTAAAAATTTTTTTTTGTTA